TCGCTACGTAAAATGCCATCATAAATTTTTATACTCATCTTTCAATCTTTATTCAGGTTTTATATTTGAAAAACAGAGACGGCATTTTCTCTTACCAATTACCCAATACAGGTGAGATAATGAACATTCCATTTGTCCAAGAGTAAATCGTCGAGCAACCAATATCCCTCTCAATTTTACTAAACTCAAATTATCTCGACAAGGGGTACTTCATTCCCAGGATACAGGCATCAGATAAAGCGAGAATCTTCCCCAAAGAAAAGGAATAAAAAAAGGGTATTAAAAAAATACGTAAACAAAACAGTATACTCTCGACACAGGAAATGACTCTCCACTGGGGTCGAGTCCCTCAGTGCGAATAAATAACGTGACGAAAAATGTGCCCGAGGGAAAACAAAATAACAGACTCTCTGGCTGGGCCTCGGAAACAACCGCCCTCCCACCCGCTATTCGTGGAGCATCAACCCAATACGGACATTTTTTTTCTTTCGCCTCTTTCGGTAGAAAATCGAGACTGGAATCTTTTCAATATCTTGGAGCACTGAAGTTACGCCGAGGGATACAGGAAACAGAAAGAAACGAATGGAAGAATAAGACGAAAAAAGGCCAAAGAGTCAAGACCAATTACCACCAAGTATCGCACCGTGGGATGTATCCTCTTTTATTTTTATTCCACAATTTTTTTCGCCTTTCCTTTTTCGTTAGTTTATTTTTTTCCCCTGAATTCTCGCCTCGTCCTCCTACGTGATTTCCCCTTGGCTCTGGCGTTTCGCAGTTTCTTGATGCTTTGGGACGTGTGCCTGCTATTCCACAAAGGTTCCTCCGTCTCTCTCTCTCTCTCCCTCATCCACTGTGGGACTTTGCTATTGGGAATCGAATTTGCGAGATACATCTAACTTCGTGTCTACCTTTTTCCAGAAAAGTTACCAACGCTAGCGTTGGTTGTACGTGGCGTGAATTCGATTGCCAGAATTCCCGATTCAGATGGACTCCTTGTGGTGGAATTTTTTTTCCCTCGTATAATCTGGGAAGAATATCGAAAAATAACTCATTTTATCATTTCATTTCAAAGGGAATGACCTCTCAAAATTCCTCTTTGCCATGTTTCCTCAGGTTGAAGTGAAGAAAAGAAAAAAAAAATGTCTGAAAGTGGGGAGCGACTGACACTCGGCAAGGACCTCTGCTCGTTCCTCCCGATATTCCGATGAATCGATTACCTTGGATCCTTGGCCACCATTTTTTCTTCCCTCCTCTATCGCATAAGAAATTTATCATGCGGTCGAAAGGAGTCTTTTATGCGGTGATTTTTTTTTTTGCTACGGATATATGTATAGGATAAAAAAAGTTGTATACCTCCAGCAAATATGTTTGGCAATTCAAAAGCACATGGTCCAGGCTTGAGAGGGAAAAAAGAGGCTTGTCATCGATCATATTTAATTGAAACCCGACACCAAAACGTGGCGGCGATACACGTCTATAAATCTCGGGAATCTAACTGAATGTATTTTCTCCGTTAGAAAAATGGAGAAAAATAAGTATCACTATTTTTTATCGTCTCTGTCAATTATTCTCTCCTTCTAATTTGCAAGCCAAAATCAAAATCAAAGTCAAAATCACTGCCTTTTGGTTTTTTATACAGTTTCGAGCGATTAATTCCTCGCAGCAACATTCAAGAGGCATGAGAAAGCTCACTTTGATAAATAGCTTGAGCCACGAGTGGAGGCAGACCTCTTCTCGGCATTGGAAAATATTCAGGGAAAATAAATAAATAGATGGAAGAAGGGGAATGAAAGAAATCAACACAGTCCAAGCTCTGAAATAAGATGAAACGTACAGAGCAGCGGGAGATCGATAGCTATCTCTTGGGTTTACATGCGTTTGAAGCGCCTGGAGTGGTTGCCCCGAAGTGGTCACACATACACTCGTGAGGTTACATGATACGTCGCGTATATACCTGACATTAATGACGTGCGTCTCGAGAGGTAATGAGACAGTCTGTTGGTTTAAAAATACGGGGAAAAAAGCATTTATATTGTTAAGCCAGCCATGAAATTCTGCCTTAATTTCGTTGATCAACATTATCACGGTAGTTTTCTTTTCATTTATTTATTTAATTTTTTTCCGAGGGATTCCTGAACATTATATAAAGCACTTATCTCTTTACTCAAACTGCCGAGAAAATGTATTTTAATCTAAAAATCATAATTTCGATTAGTCGTACTCGATAAACGAGTAATGGAGGCAGGTAAGCGTGTAATGAGAGTAGCAAATGGTTGTATCTCAAATGAGATCGATCAACCGGTGTGGCACTCATACGCACAGGGGTAGGTACATGAGGAGGCTTGTACACGCGCATTAACCGGCCGAGGCGAAATATACATCTCGATTTCATTAATGCTCATCAATTCTATCTCCGATCCACCGTATTCAGAGCCAAGATATGCTCTTTCATTTTCTTTTCCACCGTCTGGCTATTCGTTTTGCTCCATATTTCTTTCAATTCATTTTCTTCCTGCCGGCGGGAGAATATTAATTAACTCGTTGATTGAGTTGCGCTCAATCAACTAATCCCAGTGACTTTATTATTAATTAATAAAAGCACATATTGAAAGGTGAATTATTTATTTCCACAGTTGATGCAAAAGGGTTGATATTGAGGTCGGGTCACTGGCACATGGAGACGCATTCGAGACTCTGGTGCTTTACAATCCAATACACGATTCAGCACACTCAAACTCAACCCCTCACAGTCACTCTCATTCTCCTGACACGATTTCATTGATCCACCCTCTTCGTTACTCACTTTAGTTTTTCTTCAAGTCTCTTTTATCATCACCACTTGTGCATCCTTACCATTATATTTCCTCTTCTCCTCTTCATTTTCATCATTATGAGGAGCATTCAGAGCATTCTACTTTATGCGCATAACTCATAACTCATAATTTATCCCGAGGATTGACTTTTCGTTTGTCGATTGATATGGTACGCTCCAGCGATCGCCCCGGCCATGGATAATACAACAGAAACACCACGCGGGGGTCCGTGAGAAGTTACCAAACATGTATTTCAACAAAAAATAATTCATCTTCAAATTATTTCAATTTATATTTATGGCCTAATGCAATTTCATTGAATTTCATTGCATATTGTGCAAATCCATTAGTCGTGAATAAAAATTATAATTTTTTTTCTACAAATTTAAAGAGTCCTAATATTGCCAAAAACTTTGCCGTATCGTAGACAATTGCTTCAGTGACTCCAGTGCTTTATAAGCTGCTTACTGGATTCTCATTGGCTGATTGAAGGCTTTTGTCGTTCGTGTCTACTATAGTGTATTGAATGGGCGCGGGTCTAATTGGCGTAATCTGATTAAAACACAAAAGCAAACTTGGGGTAATGAAGCCAAAACCATGCTGCACAGATTCTTTCCACCTCATAATGGAGCACAATTGTCCAATTCCCATCTTTTTGTAATATACAAGAGTATTTATTTTCATTGAGAAATCGTGTGTCGACACGAGATTTGTGGATTCCTTCCATGCGATAAATACATGCTCAACTCTTGACCGATCCCCTTTATTTTTGCCCTCCCTCCTTTCGTATTATAGTTATTATTATTATTATTATTATTATTACTATCTCGGTAGCTTCTTGTTGCGTCCACATAATCAAAGACGATAATCAAGATTGATTGGAGAGTTACTTGAGAATTGCGGTACTTAGAACATTCACAATTGCAATAACGTTTAGGGAGTCGCGAAAAAAAGCAGAGGATAAAAATACGACTGGAGCGAGACTAATAGTGCTGATCCTACAGAGCAAGTTGTCGTTTCCCGGCAGCTTCAGGTCTCCACCTAAGTGGCGGGTAATGAATATGCTAACGTGTGCGAAAGCGGGTGACAAAGCTTTGTACAATGGTTTTGTTGAGTTCAAGCACCTTACTGGGAGGATTAAGCCGACTTGTAACACTTGAATAGTCTTACTTTTATTTATGTTTCCGGCAATCTCAGAGTCTATAGAGAGTTGATGAAAATCCACGTATACGTATAGATATATATCTAAATCGGAGAGTTCGTTTGTAGTTTGTGTAACCCTTGCCCTTTGGGGACAAACTGGTTAAAGTAAACGGGAGAGAAAAGATGCGAGGAAGAAAATACAGAGGTGGAGGGAGCAAGAGAGACATTGAGGCTTGGGTTTCATGGAGTATCGTTCATGGGGGTTTACGGTCACGCGTGCAGGACAAACACAAGATGAGATGAAGGGACAGTGGAGAGGGAAAAAGTTTCTAATATTACCGTACATGCCCCGAGGACTGACATGCATGGTTCACTTGTGTATTTTGTGCAGTGGTAACTGTGTTTTGATGGCTATATGTCCGTGAAATGATGCGCACTGAGCTTTATGAAACGACGAGAGGGTACCGCATCAGACACTGATGCGAATGTTCAAACAGATTTTTTTTTTCGTATCTTTGAAACTGGGTTGGCAGAAGAGATTTAGCTTTTCTCTCTGTGATGTACAATTATTTTTGTCAATAGGAATTTTTTTTCACGGGAGTGACAATCAAAGACCCCCAGGGCACAATTTCCCCAATTTTTTTTGGAAATTGTGCCAATTTATTGATTTTTATTTTTTACATTTAATTTATCCTTTATTCTACTTCCCAATTTATCTCGAAAAGACAAATGATCTGAATTCTAGTAAAAACGGCGCTTTGACATTCTAATTAAAATTATTCGCTTGGTGTTTCCCTCGGAGGCAATGAAATCATGAATGCAATATTAATAATGAAGGAAATCATGTAGATGGGGAATTTACATTTGTGAGCACTGCGGTTGTATTGTTGCGGTCCGAGTCTACAATTCCTTGAGGCGGTCGTGGTGCGGTTCTGCACCAAGAGACGATAGATGGATTTCAATGTGAATCCGAACATTGTAGGGGTTCTACATGACAGCCTGAATTTAACAGGGATTTGAAGTAGTGGAGGAGGAATTACTCACGTTTACAAGCCTTGCGGTGGGTGATCGGTTTGGTTGGATCTCTGTAGTAGCCTTCGCGGCAATAATGGCAGTGTCTTCCAGCGGTAAAGTGTCGACACTGTAGGCACACGCCTCCGCTCACTCGGCCAGACAATTTGTACAGCTCAACGTTGAAACGGCATTTCCGAGCGTGAAGGTTGCAATTGCAAACTGAAAACAAACACGAGAAGATGATTATTAGAAAAATTTATACAGACACTTTGGCAAATCTTTTTTTCCGGATGATGATGATATCTTTAAACTCTGTAGTGGCTTTGATCGCGCTCCGTCTACCTGTTTCTAAAATGTGAAATCGTTGCGGAATTTTCGGGTAGTGTCTCTCATGAGCCATTCTGAATGGCCTCGACCACAGATCCCTTTTCCTCGATTACCCACTGTATAGATCTACCACTGGGAATAGCTGAGGGACAGCCGTAAGCAGAAAGTCGCCTATTGGATTTCACGCACCATCATTCACCACGTGTGGAAGAGAAAGAGGAGAAAAAAACGGTAGGGGTTGAATTAAGAAAAAGAGAACATTAGTATTCTCATGATTTTAAGATGAAGCCTTGTCATATTTCATTAAAAATAATTGCCCGTTTGCTCGTATTTAATAATTTGTAACGATCGCTGAATAAAAAATAAAGGAATAAAAAAATGAGATATCTCAATAAAGATCAAGCTATTAACTGCATGAGCGATCAACGATTATTTGTACAAACTTTTCGGCAAAATCGCCAATCCCCAGAACTCCTGTTATTAGTCAATGCGCCGCTGTATTGCCCCGGGGGGTTATTTTTCGATCCTCTCCATGAAATTACTGTTTTTATAAGAACCATTCATCTCAGCGATGACGGATCGACAGTGGCAGTCAATTTTTCATCTCATCTTTCTTCGCACTTTTTTTCAAATCCTCTTTCGCTGCTGCTTTTATTCATGATGCGGTTATAATCGACAGGTGATGCTGGCTCAGCTTTTATCATTTTCCATTTTATAGTGAAAGAGACTTTGGATAAATAAAATACGTTTTTCTTTTTTTTTTTTTTTTTTTCAAATTAATTTTCAATTATTGAGATCGATAGTCGGTTAAAATCCCCAAGAAAAATGTTATCTCTCTACCAGTTTCGCACTAACGAGCTGACACGGTATCCCATGTTCTCCAAGGATTCGAATGAGTCCCGACTCGATTATCCCCCCGGATTACTTGCAAGATTAAAAAGGGAAAATAAGCCAGTGGACAAATGACGATAAAAATCGTTAGAAAAAGAGAGCAAGCAGAGAATTTTGATTCAATTTTCAATGAATTTACATATTGTCTCACTATTGGCAAACAAGTGGGAGGACTTGAGACATAACACTTGGCATTTCTTGGGTTATGCACGGATATACCAGAGGGATTTTTATTTTCTCCCTCGTCGTTACTGCTTTAGCTGTTCTCCTTTTCTCATCTCTGTTTGGGTTTATCGCAGCACCACTGATAAAATTCTCATTCGCCGCGACACTTTTATGTACGAAAACTCGCCTCATTCTTATGACTCGTTTAGCCCCTTCGCCCAACATTCTGTCTATTTTATTTACGACTTGGCCTCTCGAGTTCACTCTGGCTGATGTCCTCCGCAAATATTTAATACTCTCTGTTCACACGGTTTGAAAAGAAAAAAAAAACAGTTTTATGGATAATTGAATGGATGTATGGAGCGCATGAAAATAAGACGAGAAAATATCCCCTCAGATTGCAATTGTTCTGAGAGTTTTGGCATTCATTTTTCCCCCTGACCTCAACCTCGGCCGCATGTATAGACACGGATTATTAATGCACGATTGAAGAGGCTCGTAGGGGCTTATTTCCATGTCTTATCTACATTGGTGCTGGAACGGAAGTTAGCAAGACGTAGGTGGATGATTTGATGCCGGTAACACGAGTTGGTTGAAAAAAAATACAGTGTGCAACTTCGGGTTATGCGTACGAGGAACACCTGTGCTATACGAGTATAAGTGAGCTTCATGATATTTCTCAGCACCAGGTGGTGAAGGTGAAACGATTTCCCTCGGTCTTATGATCGCCACTTATCCGTGCTTATTTCCAATTCGACATGCTTATACAACGTTTCATCGAGATTTTTATTCAATTAAAGTGACTTGAATTTCGGGTGAAAATGGAAAAGGATGCCGAAGAAATAATGTGTAGGAAAAATTGATCTATCATGTCTATATGTCTCCTGGCACTAGTCTCCATCCAACAGAGGCACTCATGCTCACCATGCGTTCATGTCATGCATACGGCTTCTATATTGTCGAGTTGAGCGTCTCGAGGCACTCGGCGGTGGGTGGTACCCTAAACGGATTACACGACACATCTCCTGTTGAAAAGCCAAGACAGGAAGAATAGGTGAGAGCGATGCCGTAGACAAAGGCAAAGGGCCAAGTTGGCTCGATTTAGGGACGGCTGTCGTAAGAGGGAGAACTGTTAATTGATCTAGTTACCAACTCTATCAGTGCCAATAGTGCTCACTAATATATATGCATCGAATAAATTCTCGGTGACAAAGTGCATTCAGCGATATTATGACATTCAAGGATGAACAAAAAACAAAACAGAATAAAAGTTAATTAATATGTGCATAGGTCTGTGTTAGACGCATCAGAGATTTGCATCCTGAAAGCAACAAAGCAATGGTGTCACCGCGAGACACGTGTAAAATTCGAAAGCATGAAATCGCGTTAGAAGCTTATGGGATTTATAGGAATTAAAATCGCTCGGCTAACACCGTGTTGTGCTCACACATGCACACTCATCCCAACTACCTTCATTTGAAAGGGTTTTTTTTTTTCCACCGAGGGAAGGGGGTGGCACACGGTTACTCAGTCGTCAACGGCGACGAGGCGCGAGAATGTTCCGACGCTAACGAAAATCTGAATTAAGCCGCATTCTCATTATGCTCTCTGCAACTCGGTGGAGATTTAAATTTGATTCGTAATGCCATTTCATTAAGTTTAATATTTGATCAGCTGGGGGCCACAACGTAATATTCTCCCGTTGCGTACACTCAACGTCTACGTATATGTAATTAACGAAAAAAAAGTGAAGGGAGAGAGAGAGAGAGATGAAATTCTCCCCTCTCTCCATAAATTGGCCCGCCCGATGATTGATTGCAATCCTTCCAGCACTCGACGTTTTATGAAAACACGGTTTGCCCAAATGCAAATTAACGTGAAAATGGTTTTGTCGGTTATTGATATTGTATTCCGACATTTTCCTCATCTCTTCAACTAATGGGTTCATTTTAATTCTCCCGAGATGCTGTTTCCAAATTCAGTTGGATTTTGAACAATTGTTGATTCCAACATCGGATTGTGGCTGTCAATATGATTCAAGAAGGTACACGTATGGAGTATCGATCATATAACTCTCGTTAGTGGACCGTAACAATACTATCACAGCTTTCGTCGCATCGCGATATAAATGCCTCGTTAGTCACTTGCGTGTCATAGCAGTTGTGCCAAGTGGGCGTTCGCTGCTGAAAATAGCGGCGAGTTGATATGCCTCTCGTGAGTTTTTTTCAATTCATTTCACTTTTTTGATTGTCTGAAATTTGGAAAAGAGTACAGGAGAAATGCTAATCAACTCGATACACTGTTGAAATTTTTTATCATATTTTAGTTCCACTGAAATTCCAAGGACTTTCTCCACTAAAAAATCGAAACTTTATGGAAAAATTAATAGAAACAGGCAAATGTCTTTCAATTAAATCTGAAATTTCATGATTTTTCCCCCATAAATTGAATTCAATGTCACTCTCCTCATGAGTACATTTCAACTGTCGCTGAAATTTTAATTTTTGTCGAATAAAAATTGATAATTTGATATTTACCAGACTATTGTTTTTATTTTAACTCCTGATTCATGCGAAAAAATCACGATTTATAATCGTTGCAAATTCTACCACAGACACTGGCCAAAGGTATAAAATGAGAGCCTTACTACGGAATCAGCGATGATCCTCTATTGTACGCTAGGAGATAAATTAGTATCCAGGTGTTAGGTAGGCGGTGAGGTCAACGATAAAGAGATTCGATTCCTTTATTCGAATGAAAGGATCTCTCCTTCATCTCCAGCTCGAACAATGTAATACAAATTGAGTTTTATTTCCAAAGGTGAAAAGGGTTGGAGAAAATATTTTCGAGAAATTTTTCAGAATCCGGTTCTATCAATAGGTGTGGATTTATACTTGATGTCTCATTTGTTTCAATTAGAGGACTGACTCTGGTCACGAGTCGGACATAATTGGGAAAATTCCGACAGTTATCTGTGTAGGTTATTTTCAGGCCCATAGACCGCCTCATTGGGACAGGTATAGATGTTCAGAAAGGATAGAGAGACAGCCTGACATTTTTCTACTTCTCCCGTTCATTTAATAAAAATGTAAGTCTAGCCGCGTCACTCCATGCAAATGTATATGTATAATGTTATTTGGAGCGTAAATCCAAATTTTATCAAATTGTAAAGTTTTTCTAGTAGCTAATGTGTTTGTATAAAGTAAAAACACTATACATCAACGGTATTTTAATTTCCACTTCTTCTTCATAGGGATGATTTATTCGACGTTTACTCGTAGATTTTAAACTCTCATTAACGAGGCGCAGTTGGTTCTAGGAAACCTCTTCCCCGGACAAAATTTCCCCGAGCAAAAAATTTCTCCGGACAGAATACACACAAACAAAGTGTAATTGAGACAAATTTTCCCACGATTTTCCGACGTATCACTAGTAGAGGGGGTAATTCAGGCCGAAACCCGAGGTTACTTCTTTTGTAAGGAGTAGTTTACTATAAATACCAAGAATTCCCGTCCGAAATAAGCAAATAAAAGCAAAATATATCTAAACATCCCAAGTTCATCCATTATTATTTTTCTTGCGTAATAAACTAAGATAATGTCCGAGAAAATTTGACAGCGAACTTTTGTCCGGGGAAAATATCTCCGGCTACCGGGGCAGTGGGCTGGGCAAGCGCGCATAGCTTCAACATTTCACCTCCATCATTCTCATTAACCCTTTTTTTTTTTTTTTTTTTTCATAATCCTTGGACTAGCAGTTCTCCCTTCATATGAAGGAGAAGAAAAAATCTCCCACGAGATGTCCAAATAGTGTGACGTCTGATTTGAATAATTGAA